AAGAAACTGAGGCTCAGAGTAGAGACGTCACGTTGTTCAATAATCTCCTCCCTGATCTCACAGCTTCCCCTCCTGCCTACCCACAGTCCAGTCTCCCCCATCGCCACCAAAGGGATCTTTTTTGAAAAATAGCTTTATTAGCATCTTCTTCACCTATCATTTAATCATTCAGTCATATTAAGAAAGGCTGTGCAGGCGTCACCACAATCAAGTTCACAACATTTTCTTCTCGTACTCGTGGTCAGCTCCCCATTTCCCCCCAAACCTCCCCAGACATGCCCCTAGGCACAGTGATACTTCTGTTGTCTAACTCAATTCTTCCCAAATTCATGTTCCAACACCGAAAAATTCGAGAACCAAACATAGCTTTCCCATAAGAAATAATGGAAAAGCAAATACTTGCTTCCAAGACCCCCAAATTACACTTATAAATTCATTTTCCCAGTACTTTAAGGAGGCTTTTAGCCTCTTCACATATCCCTGTCTCAGATACGCCATTACCATCGAGTTTCTGATTGATATAAATTAACTGTAACTTTCAGCCTCTTCCATAGTCTAGATTCTTTGTTTCGTGGATAACGGTTTCACACCTTCTGCTACAGTATTTCACACCTTCTGCTACATTAGTTACGTTAATCACATTTTTGTGTGTGGTTGTTCAGGAATGTTGATAATGTCGACTGTTGTATTCAGCTGCCAAATCAGACAAACGGCGACCTGATTCAAATCTCGCAATGATTTCTTTCACAAACTCCATCATCTCGCAGTTTTTCTCTTAGCTTTACTGATGGTATCACGAACTTTCTTTGGAGCCCGGATTACAGCATTTTACGCAAATACAACGCGCTCACACAAGGACTGTGTATTCTGTGAGTAAGAGCAGTGCTGCCTTACTGTGTGGCCGCCCACTTTCCGCCGACACTGGTTTTTTTCAATACGGATTTTCAGTTTCCATAAAGATCAATCGAGCAAAGTTACAAACACCGAGCAGATTATTTTATTTTATTTTATTGGGGGGGGGGCTCTTAAAGCTCTTATCACAATCCATACATATATCCATTTTGTCAAACACATCTTTACATATGTTGTCATCATCTTTTTCAAAACATGTTCTTTCTACTTGAGCCCCTGGCATCAGCTCCTCCCCACCCCCCCACACCCCCCTAACAATCTATAATTATTTTTTCATGTTTTACACCAACTGCTGTCTCATTTCACCCACTGCTGTCCGCCCCCCTGGGTTGGGGGCCACACGGTGATCATTGTGATTGGTCCTCCCTGACTCCGCCCCCCCACCCCCCAGCAGATTAGTTTTGAACTTTGCTGTTCGCCAGTTGTGGAAAGTTCAAGCTTGGCGCCATCACTGTAAATGGCTAATCTAGTTATTGTCTCCACCAAAAAAGATTTTTGAGAAATGAATCTTACTTAGGAGGAAATTCTCTCTGGTTCTTGTTGTTATATAATTAAAACCAAAAGAAGACACCCCAAATCCACCACCATTGAGTCAATTCAGACTCACACGGGACTTTTGTAGGACCTCCCAGGCTGCAAATCTCAAATGGGAATGGACAGGTCATCTTTCTCCTGAGGCCAGGACTGGTGGGTTTGAACCACCAACCTTGTAGGGCCTAACCCACAGCACTACCAGGGCTCCTTGTGGAAAATGGAGAGCAATGCCATTATGGAGGAAGATGTTCCCATTGGGAGACACGAGAAAAAAGACCTATGGGCACTCTCTGCTCTAGGTTGTAACTTGTCTGTAAATCTGAAATTATTATAAGACAAAAAGTTTAGTTTAAAAAAAATTAATGGAAAGTTTTTCCCTATCACCAAAGGGTGGGTGGGTGGGGGATAAAGTAGAGCTTGTTATTCTTCTAACTGAAGAAAAATTGATGCATTTGAATGAGGGTACTGGCGAAGAATATTGAAAACACAGTGGACTGCCAGAAGAACAAACAAATCTGTCTTGGAAGAAGTACAACCAGAATGCTCCTTAAGAAGCCAGGATGGAGAGACTTCATCTCCCCTACTTTGGACATGTTGTCGGGAGAGACCGTCCCCGGAAAAGGACATCACGCTTCATCAAAGGAGGTCAGTGTGCAAGCCACCAGAGTACAACAAACTGACAGCCAAGTGGTGTGAATAGTAATAATAAAAACTCGTTGCCGACAAGTAGATTTAGACACATAGGAGCCCCATACCAGGAAAAAAACAAATTCACTGCCAACAAGTCATTGCTGAATCCTAGCGACTCTATAGGACATGGTAGAACTGCCCCTGAGAGTTTCCAGATTGTAACTCTTTCCAGGGATGGAAAACCCTGTCTGTCTCCTGGGGGTGCAGCTGGTGGTTTCAAACTGCCTACCTTGCAGTTAGCAGCCCCATAGGTAAGTAGAACTGCCAAGAGGGCTTCCAAGGCTGTATGTCTTTCTGGAGCAAACAGCTTCCTCATTCTCCCATGGAGTGTCTGGCGGGTTTGGATGCTTAACCCACAGGGCCACCAGGGCTCCTTCCACAGTGACAAGTTCACTTCCATCACATGCTTAAACTGTAGACTCTGGTTCTGCCTTGGCTGACTCCAGAGGGTCAGGAACCAGAATCCCACCAGCTCCCCACCCTCCTCAGCAGGACACTAGGGTGAAGAAAGTCAATGAGAATCCACTTTTCCCATTTCGCAGATAAGCAAACTGGCTTAGAAAAGAGGAAGGAGCATTCTATCATATTAGGCAGTAGCCTCTCTGGCAAATTCTTGCCTCAGACTGGGGTGTGGGTTGGCATTAAAGACCAACAGGGAGTCAGGCCTTTCCGCCCCTTGGTCTGCCCCTTGCCAGGACCTCCCCCCGGAGCTCTGGTTTGGGACCAGCTAATTCACTGAAGTATGTGCCTCAGGATTGGACTCTGGAGGGGAGTTGCCCACGCTTAGAGGGGTATGTAGACAGAGGCCCTCCCTGAGTCCCAGCCCATTCTGAAGTCCTCCAACACATGGATGCTGACAGAGGCTACCACACCTGCCGCTCTGCCTCATGATTCTTCTTGTGACTTGATGCTCCTTGAAATCATCCCATTGGGTTCTCCATTTATTGAGCAGCCAGCGTGCCCTAGAGGTTGCTAAGTGCCAGGGGCTTCACAGTGAGGCTTAACTGACTGTGAGGAAGGGCTTTCTAGACGGCATGCCCTGGCTCTTTAAGTTCTTAGCTGCGTGACCTCCAGCAAGTGTCCCTGCTCCTTGGGGCCTCAGTTTCTTCATCTGTAACCCCATAGGTGAGTGTGAGGAATGGCACACCATTCCCAGGACTGGCTTGGGGAGTCACTACATTTTGGCACAGAGTTTCAAAAGCACAAGGGCAGCGTTTGTGTTTTTTTCCAGCACACTTATCAGAAGCTGATCTTTTTATTTGTGTCTTTGTTTATTATCTGTCTGGCTGACTAGCTGACTCTCCTCAGGGAGAAAGACTTTTGTCTATCTGGCTCACCCCTGCTTCCCCCGCCCAGAACAATGCTTGACACAGAGCTAGGTGCCCTATAAATGTTTGGCTGCCTAATGAAGGCTGCCTTCCAGATTCCTGCGCTCTTTGCCAATGCCAGGACACTCCCTGCCCTGGAGGAGCCCAGGTCTGTGGGCTGGGCGTGAGACACTATGCCCTCCACAGCCAGCTGATCCCTGACTCCGAATGTCACCAACTGGGCTCAGTGCCCTGGACAGACAAGCGACACTCTTGTGTGACTTGTAGCAGAAAGTCCCACAGGTGGTGGGTGGTGGGTGGCGGTGTAAACTGGTGAACCGGAGCAGAGCCCGGAAAGCCTGCACCCTAACTCCCCAGTACCTGCAGGAAGGGGGCAAAGCGCCCTGGGTCCTAGGGGCCTGGTCCCCAGGAGAGCGGAGGGAGCAGCGCTTCCAAAAGTGTGCCCAGGTGGCATCATCACATTTGGGGATGTCAATTGGTGTAGCCTGCATGCCTTGTGAAATAAAGTTAATCTCTCGGCGGAGGACAAGGGCTTTGCAAACGGTCATGCGCTGCAGGGAATGAATGTGTTTTGAAGTGTTGGGTGCACTTCCGAATCCTGCAGCCCCGGAGGTGCCACAATTTCTGGGCCTCGTGGAGAAGGAGACACCGTGAAAGTCTTCTCTTCCGGCCTCCGCTCTGGTGCGCGAAACGTGCAAACTCTCCCTTTATCTGGAGTGCACGCGCTTCTTCAACTTTGCTCCGGCTATTATCAGGGTAATCATTCCGGTCGTTATATAACTTGCCGAGAACAGGAAAAATAATCTAAAGAAGGATGACTCGGGGTGTGCGTGTGAGATTCTGAAACATCTTTTAAAACAGATATAAAAGTCCCAAAAGTGCCCAGAAAAATAACATGCAATCGTCCTACTTCGAAGAAATAATCGACAATAGTTTGATTTCTCTGGGAGAGGGAAACCCCAAGTTGGAATGCAAAAGAAGTCAGCACAAATCTCCCGACGATTCTCTTTCTCCCACCCCAGCCCCCTCCCCATCCCCGTTCCCACAGCACTTTTTATTTTTGAAGGGTGAATTCCAGGACCCCATACAAGCCCCTGCTGGGCTTTCCCATGGCCAGGTCTGCAAACTCCTGACCCCAAAGAACACAACCTCGCGGTGGCAGCAAACCTCAGAGTTCACATCAGGACTCTCCCCCCCAGCAACTCCAGTTCCCGCGTGCAACTTCGCAACTCACTCTCTCACTCACCAGCGGGCCTATTTGCTCGACCCGTTTGGCGGAAGAATCCGCGCGAGGTTGCAGTTATGCTCAACGGTCTCCTCCCCCTTCGCGAGCTCTAGCCACGCCCATTTCCAGAGCCCTGGCCCCGCCCTCTCCCTCGAGCCCTATGGCCCATAAAGAAGTCCCGGTCCGACCGCTGCACTTCCCCCGCGCGCATCCGTCCGCCGCCCGTAGCTGGCTGAGGAGTCGGCGGCCATTTTGTTCTTCTCGTGGTTCCAGTGGGGAGTGAAGGAGGAAGCAGGGAGCGGGGCGGCTGGGGGGGACCCGCCGCGGCTGCTGCCACCGCCGCCACCACCGCCTCTGTGCTCGTGGGGTGGGAAGGAGGTGTGAGTCCCGGGCGCGAGCCGGCGGCTGCGCCGCTGCGGGAGGGTAGGCGGTGGGACGGCGATGGCGGATATAGATAAACTCAACATCGACAGCATCATCCAACGGCTGCTGGAAGGTGAGGGGGGCGGCAGGCGGCCTCGGGGAGGTGGCTCCACGCGCTGAGCAGCCCGCAGAGGAGAGTTGGGAGGCCGGTTGGGCTTGCAGCGCTGGGGAGGGCAGCCGGGCCGGGGTCCCGAACTTGGCCCACCCCGCGGCTCCGCTCGGCTCATTCATTGCACAAGGCTGCAGGCTCCCTCCTGGCCTGGAATTCGGAAACTCCACTCCCCCCACCCCCACGTCTCTCGCCGCGACCCCCGGGTCCCCAGCAAACCGGTCCAGTCTTTGCAGTCCAACCAGGACAGTGAGCTCCGGACTTGCCTTCGGAGTTTTTGCTACTCGTCCGCCCGAAAAGCAGTTTGCCTGGGGGATGTGGGTTCCATTGGCTTTGGAGACCTGCTTTCCCATCTTGCTTGCTTTTCTTTTTCACTTCTTAGTGGAGCTGGGGTCGGGAGGGTCATGTCTTGAGACTTGGGGGACGGATGTCCCTTTCTGGAGTACCGCCTTCCCGGGCCCCAGGAATCCTTTTAAGTTATCCTTATCCCGGGCTTGATCCGCGGGCTTTCCCTGAGCCTGCATCTAGCCGAGTAGGAAAGCGTCTGTAGTCTCATTCTAATCTTTCAAATGGGCCGGGCTCCGGCTTCGCTTTGCCTCCTCCATCGTCCAACACGGCACAACTAGCACACACTCCGACCAGCGCTGCCTCTGTGGCGGGCTCTCTGGGAGCTTTGTACTCGGGTTCGTTCACCAAATTCTCCCCACAGGCTTGCCAGGTAAGTCCTACTGTGATTCCTCTCCTCCTACAGAAAAACCCAAGGCACAGAGGTGAAGTCACATTCCCAAGGTCACGCAGTAAATGGACAACCCGGTTTACAAGCCAGGAGCAGAAACTCCATATTCAACTGTCAGCTTTTATAGGTGACCCTAATGTGTGAAGGAAGCATCCCAGGGATAAACACAGGTTAATGCCAGGCTTTAATTTAACTCGAGGTCCATGGCAGTGGATTCCCTTTAATGAGGGAGAGGGTAAGGCACAGATTTTAAAGGCAGAGCAAAACTGAGCAGCATTTTTGGGGGGTCCGAAGTGGGCCCAATAATGGATGTAAGTGCCTTTTCTTTGACTTTGGAGCAAAGAGATGAGTTATTTATTCTCTTTCTGGATTTGACCGCTGAGTTGCAACCAGTTTGGGGCTTGATTCTGCCTCCCACAACATCTCCCAGTAAAAATGTTGCCAGTGATTGGAATCTAGATTGTGGACAGGTTTGTAGGATTTGCTTGTCTTTTGAAGTAAGTCGTTAATGTACAACTCCTGAAAATACCTATTCTGAAATCAGTGACTTCCTCCCCCATAGAGCACTCTAGCGTAAGCGGCCTGGTGGCACGACTGTTCAGTGCTCCACAGTGAGTTGCTCCACTGGAGAGACTTGTCCCCAGGTGCTTCCAGGAAGAAACCCTGCGGGACACTTCCACTCCGTGCCTGTCCACTTAAGATCACTATATATATATATATACAGTTCTCAGATTCGTGTGAGCCAGCAATTGTACTTTCATTTAAAAAATTAACTTACGCGCATTTGTGTAGGGGGTGTGTGGCTGTATGAGAGTGGCTTTATTTTTCACATGGATTAGAGACTTTAGAATTCCGAGTTGATTTAAGTCTTGATGCTGTGGCTTGCTCAAACCCATATTCACAAAATGGTGATCTCTTTTCATCTTATTTTTTAAAGTGTATTAATATTTGCCCCGGTAAAATTGGCTCACCTAAAATGAGAGTGATCATTGTTTAATTCCAGTTTATTATAAAAGTCAAAAATTAAAAAATGGAATTTAATAAAGCAGAGTATTTTAATGCCTGGGGAGAGGGGCAATAGCCCAACTCTGTCGCTCAATTCCTACCCATAGCAGCCCAGTAGGACAGAATAGAACTGCCTAATAAGGTTTCTGAAGCTGTGAATCTTTCCCCAAAGCACAGCTTCAGCTCTTTACTTGAGAGAGAGAGCGAGCTGGTGGATTCAAACAGCTCCGCTCCTAGCCCATTACACTACTAAGGTTCCTGGAGGAATAGGTTCACTGCACAATAGTCATAAATTCCTCTTTCCCCCCCCCTCTCTCAAAACCATTTTATTGGGAAATAATACAAATAGCATTCCATAGTTCAATCATATCCCCCTCTCCCCAGTCTTATACAATTGCTAGTTTCAAAACATCTTCATGCACTCCTTGTTAGCAGCTCCCCTTTAGCCCCTCTCCTTCTTAAATTCCTTTCCACTGAGTATTAAATTTATAGAGAAACAGTTGAAGATCCGTTGAGATGGTGTATATTTTAAGTTGGAAGGTGTTGACAAAATATATTTGATAGCTTTTGTACTGTTTCGAAAGCCTTTTCCCTTCAAAACTTTTAATTAAGATTTCAGCGTATCTGAAAATGGAGGGAGAGTGGATTTTGCAGCCTTGTTAGTCTTCTTACATGTTCAAAATTGACCATCTTTAAATTCAAGGGCTGTGCAAGTTAGCTGAGAAGAAAGATGGTTAGTATTCAAAGCAAAACCTCATCTCTTTATATAGTCCCTACTGCTTTGCCTGAAGCCAGGCATCACTTCTGAGGCTCACCTAGTTTATCTGCACTCTGCTTTACTGATGACAAAAGATCCTTAGGATAAGTGATGTGCACTGATTGCATAACCGGATCCCTTGGGAGTACTGGGGGCAAAAGCTGTTGCGTGGGTGTGATAGCCCGTGGGTTTGGGACTATGTTCTGAGGTCCTCACCCAACAACAGCCAGCCCAGCGCTTTGCCTGATGCCACAGCCTAGGCCTAATGGAGGCCCTTGCTGACTGGCTCTCTGGCCAGGCACTGCTATGTTGCTTGCCTTCACTTTAGTGATTCTGCCCTGGTCTGTGGAAAGTTTACTAACTTTGTGTGAGTATTCTTTTGAATGAAGATGGTATTGATTTTATGGATAGGGGCAGTTGCGCATTTCTAACTCCCTCCAATTGAAGAGTCTGTTGTGAGGCCCTTCCCCTCCCCCACTCCAGCGCTTCCGAGAGCTCTTCTTAAAAACAGATGATCTGCAGCTTTTAAATTTGGTGGGCCCTTTTAAACCTCCGGATTGAAAGGATTAAAGTCTGTGTGCATTCTGCATTTTGTCTGTAGCACGGTGAATGGACAAGGTCACGCATGCCATTCTGTGGGTGGTGAGAATGCTGTGTTCTGAAAACTAGGGCTGTTGTGACCTGTGATGAAATAGCATATGCCAGTCAGCTTGGCTAGGTGAGGCCTCCTGGTTCCAGGTCAGGGAAATTGCTACAAATATGGATGTCACCATTTTCAATTCATAATCATCAAGGCACTTTTAGCCAGCTTGAAATGTGAAAGAACATTTGGGTGTCAATCGCTGTATAGATGGGTGGGGGTGGGAGACCAGGAAGTCTTAGTCAAGAGAAATAGGTAAGTATGTTGCCCTGGTGTTTACAGAGTTTAATTTTTGTGAACTGGGTCAAGGTTTACAGACAGATTAGTTTTCCATTCAACAATTCCATACATACACTTTTGTTTCATTCCCACAATGCAGCATCACTTACCCACTTCTTCCCACTTACTGAATTTTTGCTTCAGGATTAAACCCCTGTGTTTACAGCACGCTTGAGTAAACTGATGGTTTACTTGGTTCTTGATGGTTTTTCTGGAATCTCCCAGCCACTTTCCCATTGCCCTGGAGTGCACTGCTGGCACTCATCTGGGCGTCGGATGGGTGATGTTAAGCTTGTAAGGAAGTGGAAACCACTCAAAAGGCATAGGGTCAAGTGGGGACTATGATCAGAGTGTTGTGATATTAATGTGTGTTGTTGGAGTTCTCCCATAAACCAACTCTACCCTTGCAGTGGAGAATTTGAGATTACTTGGAGAGAAGAGGAGCTCTAGTGATGGTGATTACCCATTGGGCTGCTGACCGAGAAGTCAGCAGTTAGAAATGACCGGTCAGCTCCTCAAGAGAAAGGTGGGCCTTTCTACTATAATTGAGTTACTGTCTCAGAAACTCACAGGAGCAGTTCTGCCCTGTCCTGCAGGGTCCCTATAAATGGACATTGACTCGATGGCAGTGAGTTTGGTTTATGAGAGAGGAGACACCTTAAGAATTGGTGGCCATCCACTGTCCCTTAGAAATGCCCACATGCAGCAGCAGCAGTAGTTGATAGATGGGAATCAAGGTGTGAGACATCCAGAAAGTGGGTCTTCCTGCTGCTGGCCACTTCGCAGAAAAGTCAGTGGAGCCAACATTTTCATTATTTATATATATATATGAAGCTTGTTTTCCTTCATAAGAAAATTTTAACATTGCTAGTCTTCACTGATCATTGGTTTTTCATGTTGAGGTATGCACTGATCATTGGTTTTTCATGTTGAGGTATGTCCTAAATCTGTCAAATATCAGAAAGTTAACAGTGCTGTCATTGAAACTAATGTGATTTGGCATATACTTAAAGTTACTGACTTAGTATTTACAGCAGTAAGATCTTTGGGCTTATTTTTATGTGTGCATCCTGTGCCGTTCTAGCATTGGTTCGTTATAGAAGTTGAGGTTTTTGTGCCTATGCTGTTCCTTGAACATGCTTTTTCAACTGCCTTGGCACAGCGGGCCAAGTCTTGGCCCCCAATGGCCCTTCGCTGGGAAAACCGCCTGAGAAACCCTATGGAGCAGTTGTGCTCTGTCCTATAGAGTCTAGAGTCTCTCTGCGTTGGAACAACCCCTGTGCTTGTGTTTTGGATACCAAGGAAGGAGCCGTAGTGACACAGAGGTTAAGTTCTTGGCTGCAAACCAGAAGGTTGGCAATTTGAACCCACCAACTGCCCCGTGGGAGAGAGCTGGGACTGCTTCAGTGAAGATTACAGCTCTGGAAACCTATGCGGGTGGGCTGGGGGTGGCAGATCTGCCTTGTCGAGTTAAGCGTCAGAATCTAATCCGAGGCCATGTATTTGGTTTATGTGGCGAGGAGAAACCTTCCTGACCATCCCAGTGC